AGGGGGTATGAATAACAAATTTAGGGGGTATGAATAACAATTCCCCTTATTTTAATGTGATCAATTTTTTAATATCACAAAATGAGCACAATCCGCCCATATGGATTACTTAGTTTTTTTTTTTTTTTTTTTTTTGCGAAGTCGCGATATCAAAAAAAGACAATCCATTTTCTTCACTTTTTATCATTTTTAATTTGCCGTTATTCGATCAACTCCCATTTAATTCGAATAATTGATCTCGCGTTATTTATAACATGAAACTCCTTGATAACCGTTCTTGGGCTTTCAGGTTGCACTTTCGACGATAGTAGCTTTGGGTATTTAATTACAAGTTTTAATCTTGTCGGGATTTTGATCGGCTTCCAATATAGTACCCAAATTTGCATCCTGTAACTGTTGAAAATTACTACTACTTGGGTACAAGACGTACGTAATTTAGACTATTCTGACTGTATGGACGATCATTCGAATCCGATTGGTGTATATTTCTGGGCACTATTCGATTCAGAAGGAATAAAATAAGAATTAGTATGTTTAAATGTCATAAAGGAAAAAATCTGCTTATACTTACCATTCGTCTTTCACAATAAATGTACAGTCTATCTAAAATTGTCAAATTTCAGCATCAGCTTTAGAATCCACAATAATATAATAAACGCGTATTGTATGACATAACTCCTTTCCAAAATATCGTAAATAAATTTGACTGTAAATGTATGATTTTCACTGATTTTCATACTTCATAACTAATATGTTTCATTTACTTAGATAATTTAGCGATGATAATTTAATGGAATAGTAAAGAATGTACCTTGCTAATCAAATTACGATAAACATCTGGTAAAAGATCCATAAAATATAAATTTACCCATCAAATTTAAATATATCTATTTTCTCCAAATAACTTTATAAAGCTATTCCTAACGCGCAATTGAATGTGAATTAAATAAACTACCTTCGATTATAAGACTTTCTCAAATCTACGAGCAAATGACATGTTTGAAATACATTTTAGATCATAAATTTATTAAACGCATATTTATACCTGTAGTTTGTTTATTGGCAATTGGGTTGGCAGAAAGTTACATGTTACAGAATGAGCCATCCATGGAACAAATTATTTTGATTGGAATTGTCATTTTATTTTTATACTTTACGTATTGGGTAGGTCATACTTCGTAGCTTAAATAAATGTAAGAAATCTTCTAATTTCTAAAATTTTTTACACAAAGGCAATAATTAATTCAAAATGTCGAGAATCATCTCGTAAACGAACATCAATATTAAGAGAAGTAAGTACTGTTGATAGTGAAACGTCACAACTGCGACGCGATAGAGAAATTAATATCATGATAGACGATGCCCACTTTACACCTCAAACGCCACCGCCGACTTATACAAGAACAATAAATCATATGGGATTACCTCCACCATATACTTCTTCAGAATCAGATTCAATAAATCATAGATCTGCGATTACAAGTGATTATTCAAGTTCAATAGAAGAGGGAACAGCTCAATCGACCACATCATCAATGATACAAACACCACCATTCTCTTATAGTACAAATTTAGCTCATCAGACAGTATAGCATTTCATTATTTGAATTTTTTTGATATTACTGTATTTGTATATAATTAAGCTCACATTTGCAATGTATAATTTAATGGAATTAAAGCTGTAGTTAATAAATCTAAGTACATTTACCTCACAATCTTCATTTTTGACAAGACCATATGACTGGTTTTGCAAAGAAATGATTCTTACTAAACGAAGGCTACATTTTGAATACAAGATATAAGAGCTGTTTATTTAATTTTGGTTTTCCTTATAAGATCGTAAAATGAGCCGTTATTCCATAACTACCAGATCAACGAGAAGTAAAAGTTTATTCCGGAAAACCCTTTACAAACTAATTAGTTTGCACTATAGTATATATGTAGACCTGTATCATCATTTAGTTATATTCTGTATAGTAGTATAATCCAAACCAATGAAAAAAATTCGATGTTGGCCTTACCTTTAACATTAAAGAAAAAAAAGATTGCGCATGTATAAAAATCTTTTTCGCGCACCAAAAAAATATAAATCTGTGCGCAAAGCTCACATATTTATTTTAGCAATATATTCCACGGCCCCTAATGTTCGCCCGTGAACATTTCTGATGATATTTTTATGATGATGTAATGCCGTGAAAATATCAAAAATTATTGCCCGCTTCGCGGTCAATAACTAATACATATTCAACGGTGTGCCGCGATACCACGGCTTCGCCGTTCTAATCCATGATATTCACAGTAGCCCGTGGAATATCTATTACATATTAAACAAAGTGCGCAATGCGCACCTAATTTTGATTTTGAATTTTTTTACACTGATCCAAACCAATAGTTTCATCATGTGCCGAATCCGAAACAAATCTAAAATTAGTATCATATGCCGAATCTCAAGACAATGCCAAAAATAGCAATAAGTATACAAAATTTGTTGAATAACGGTAATTTGGCAAACCGGGGCAAATGTTATCCGGCAATTTTATGATCATGATTGTTAGGGAGTCATCGACTGAACTTTAATTTGAATAAACATGATTACATAAAAAAAATAACAAGACAGATGGCAATTAGAGATGGGCAAGGTAATTACTTATTACGTAAAAAATCAAATCACATTATGCGACAATTTACTAATAATATATACTTGTAACTAATAACATGCTAAATTGTCGCATAGTGTGATTTAACTTTTTACGTAATAAGTAATTACCTTGCCCATCTCTAATGGCAATTCATGATCATAAGAGTTTGCTGGATAATGATAACTTATACTTTCTTAATATGAATTCTAACCCTATAAATTATCAATCAAATCTCAAAGATATATTTGACCATTTATGATAGGAGGAAATTACAATATCTCCAAAAATCTGTTAATACTGTCTACTACCGAAATATTCTGATATTCTTTATTTTGATTAAATAAGTATTAACTTTTTAATTTAGGGTCATTAAAACTATTAAAATAAATTGTTATTGTAAAAAAAAAGAGTTTTTAAAAAATTTGGTCAGCGGGTAATGCAAAACGAAAATTTAATTTTGTATGGCCTTAATCATCTGATCTTAAACTACGTACATATTAAATCTATTATGCCGAAATCATCTATTTAATTTAATCCGTTAAAAAATCATTCAGCCCACCCGTCGGGTGACCCGAGTGGACAGGTTCAAACACTAATTATGAGAAACAAAAAAGTTTTGCGTGACCCAATATGGTGCAAAATTATTATTCCTGATGGTACCGATCTCGATGAAGTTCAAAAAGTTTTTATTTGAATACTGCTCCTTACAGGGCACTAAAAGCGAACCCTAATCCTAACTTTATTTCATATACTTTAATATAGTAGTAGGATAGTATTTTAGAAGCCCTCTTTTCAAGAATAGTATGTAAATTAATTTCTTTCACTGCCTCATCAGGAAGAGTACGATTCATAAGGAATGGTATTTTTGCTAGCCAGGTATGTAAAGTTTGAGTAAATTTAAATTTTTGATATGTAGTATGTATAAAAGTGGGTATAAAATCTAAAAAATTTCGAGGTAAATTTCTTTGAATCTTATGATTTTATTTTCTCCCACATTATATATAATTGTCTGGAGTCCTGCTGTGGTAGTATAACCACTAGGTTGTATGTATAAATTCTACTGTGGGTACTTGATTAGAAGAGTAATACAAAGATATAAAACTAGAGTAGTTAGAGAAGCGGTAAACACAATAGCGATCTGTGACCGGCACCCAAAAAAGTTGCGAAAATCATGTGATTTTGTCAATTCATCATGGTTAGAATCATGATAATAATAATATCTATAAAATATTAGTAAGTGGTTTTTTTCTTCGATTCTTCAAAATGAAAAGCGATCGTTGCAACCTCGACAAACCAAGTGATTCTTTTAAAGGCATAAAATTCAATAAACACAATATTCTAAACATATACATCGATTGTTGCACCAGAAAACCTTGTAGATTTTATTTTTAATGCTCTTCCGGAAGACTATAGCTCTGATTATTTATTTGAGCAAAAAGTTTTATAATTCTGAATCCAAAACGCAACAAAAAAAGTTGTTGAAGAAAACAAATCGTAACAAATGGCTCGATAGTATTAATAAAAACTTTGAACCTTTGCATAAATTGGAGGAGGATTATAATCATTTTAAAAGGCAATGGAATATTCCAAATACTTAAAAAA